CACATCTGTAATCCCAGCACTTTGAAGGCCAAGGCAGGCGGATCACTTGAGCCCAGGAGTTCAAGGCTAGCCTAGAAAACATGGCAAAACCCCATCTCGACAAAAAAATACAAAAATTAGCCAGATGCGGTGGCATGCGCCTGTAGTCCCAGCTACTTGGGAGGCTTAGGTGGGACAATTGCTTGAGCCTGGAAGATGGAGGTTGCATTGAGCCAAGACTGCACCACGACACTCCAGCTTGAGAGACAGAGTAAGACTCTGTAAAAAAAAAAAACTTTGGCAAAAGATCTGAATAGACATTTCTCCAAAAAAGGTATACAAATGGCCAATTAGCACATAAGAGAAAAGGAAATCGAAATCACAATGAGATACCAACTCACACCCAAAGTGTTGATGGGGCCATTGAGAAATCAGAACTCTCATATACTGCTGGTGAGATTATAAAAAGAGTGTAGCCACTGTGGGAAACAGTTTGGCAACTCCCCAGTGGATAGTTATTATATGACCCAGAAACCCCACTCCTAGATATATAACCAAGGGAAATGAAAACATGTATGTATGTCCAAAACTTATACAAAAATGTTCACAGCATTATTTCAAAAAGCCAAAAAGGGTGAAGCACAGTGGCTCACGCCTGTAATCCCAGCACTCTGGGAGGCTGAGGCAGTAGAATCGCTTGAGACTTGGAGTTTGAGACCAGCCTTGGGTAATACAATGAGACCCTTTCTCTACAAAAATCATAATAATAATGTTTTAAAAAATCAAATAGCCAAAAAGTAAAAACTGCCCAAATGTCTGTTAGTTGATCACTGGATATACGAAATGTTGTACATAGAAGACAACGTGTTATATAATTCCATTCATATGAAATGTCTTCAATAGAGAAGTTTTAGTTTTAGCCCTTACATTTCTATGATTCATTGGAGTAAATTTTTTGTATTTGGTGTGCAGTAATCATTTAAATTCATTTTTTTATCATGTGGATATCCAGTGGGCCCAGTGCCAGTTACTGAGGAGTCTAGGGTGAGTTTTGCCAGCATTTTATGCCACAGTGTGACCTCACTGATGTCATCTCTCTATAGACCAGAGTATCTTTCAAAACAGAAAATGTTACTAAAATACAAATGAAACCAAGACAGAAAGTAGCCTGTTGGTTGCTTATGGCTGCACTGGGAGCTGGGGGTGTTAGGGGACTAAGGGCAATAGCTAAAGGGCACAGAGTTTTTCAGGGGGTGATGAAATGTGCTGGAATTAGAAAGTGGTGATGGCTGCACCACCTTGTGGACATACTAGTACCCACTAAATTATATACTTTAAAGGAATTATGTCTCATATAATTTATATGAATTTTATCTCAATTATTTAAAAGTCATTGAATCAGCCAGACACAATTTTTGGGAAAAAGCAAAATGAGTTAACATATCTGTGGACACAAACGGATAGACTTAAACTCAGGATTCAACGTTTCTCATTTAAGTGAGAGACATACATTCCTCTTCAGTACTGCACTGAAACATAATACAAGGTTGATTTTCTGTAAAGCTCTGCTAAAAATTCTATTCCCTTTGGATCAGCATCCAGCAGCTGTTGCAACAGCACAGTGGGTTTCAGGTGTAAAACGGGCTGGATATCAAATTGCCAACATTCTCACAGCCGCCATGTTTCTATCATAAACACCAGGAGAGCTCCCAAATGCAGACTAACTGCATATGGCAAGCAGCTGAACAAACACCCACTTGAATCACTGCCTTAGCATTTCTAGCTTAGGACAAGTTTTCCTGTGGAAGGCTGGGGGCTGCAGAGGGGAAGCACCAGTGCCTGCCAACCAGTTAGTGTGCACAACGAGGTCCCCCAACAGCCGCCCCCATATCACCAGCTTCCTGACAATATCCACAGAAGCACAGGTGTCCCATTCATTTTCCTAATAAGCCAGAACTCTCAGGGGTGTGCAGGTCCCTCAGGTGCACTAGGAAGAGCCATGGATCCGGCCAGGTGTCTTCCTTCTCTGGGCCTCGGTTTGAAATGTGACACATCTAAGGAGCTTTCCAGATAAGGCTTAACAATTTTCAAATTCACTTTTCGTGTGTAACTATTTGTCATGGAAAGCATTAGAAAACATATGGGACATATCTCTTCCTTATCAGAGCATGTTTGTCTTATCTCTTTCTTGCTGATTTAGTCATCTTTTATCCATGTCAAATACAGGCATTTATTTATTATTATTATTTGTTTTTTTTTTTTGAGATGGTGTTTCACTCTTGTTACCCAGGCTGGAGTGCAATGGCGTGATCTCGGCTCACCGCAACCTCCGCCTCCCGGGTTCAGGTGATTCTCCTGCCTCAGCCTCCTGAGTAGCTGGGATTACACGCATGCGCCACCATGCCCAGCTAATTTTTTGTATTTTTAGTAGAGACGGGGTTTCACCATGTTGGTCAGGCTGATCTTGAACTCCTGACCTCAGATGATCCGCCCGCCTTGGCCTCCAACATGCTTGGATTCCAGGCATGAGCTACCACGCCTGGCCCAGTCATTTATTAACTCAACTGCTGTTGAGATGTGCTGACCTTAGGCCTAATGACCTCAAGCCCACTCTGTATTGAGTTGTACTGTATATAACTAACATAACCATGTTCACAGCTTTTCTGTCTTTTCTCCCCACCTGTACATGTCTGTCAATGAGACCCATCCTTTCTATTTCAAGTTACCAGTGACCGTTACCTTGGCTACATGAATGGAGCATTGTTAACTTCCATAAAAAGAACCTTTGCACACAGTCCCATGAAAATCCACCAGAAACATGCACTGAATGTCTGACCTCTTCCCAATGCCCGTGTTTCTACCTTTGACTGTATTTTAAAAACTAAAGGGAGTCAAATACACTTTAACTTTTTAGTGAAAGCATCCCATTTAAACCCCTTTTTGCTGACAAGGGGAGGCAAGGAGAGGCCCAGGAGGCAGAGAGGTGCTCCATCTGCTCCCTTGTGCTTGGAGGCTGAGCCTCAGGCCCCACGTTGGAGCTGGCCCAGGCCCCAGCCGTCCTGAGGAGTCCCAAGTGCTGCCGCTGAGCCAGCCTGGAAGCTGAGCTGCCACGTTCACAGGCTCTCTCTTATGGTCCTCATGCAGTTGTGATTAATTTGGAATAGACTGTGGTTTAAAAATCAACCAACACTTTCCACTTAAATCACTTAGGTATACATTTTCTTATGGAAACTGTTATGCTGAAGTTAGTAATTATGTAAGTAAGCTTCCACCAGGCCCCTCTCAGCCTCTGGCGGGGACAGCTGGTGTTGGGATGCATTCTCACTGCACTGGGTCCACATGCACAGGGTGAGGGCCTCCCACACCAGCAAGAGCTCAGTGATGCAGACGCTGCTTCCTTTAAAAGCTTTGTCATGCCATTGTCCCCACACAACCTCATTCAACAGAGCTGATCTGGTTCAATCTGGCAAGTCTCTGAGCAGCAGGAAGCCCCTGCCACTGCATTTCCAGCCTCCTCCCGTGTCTTGTGTCTTCTGTCTGTCAGGCTGGACGCTTCTCAGGGGAAACCTCCCTAAGGCCTGGGTAGACCACAGCACTTTTAATCACAGCAGTGCACCCCCAGGTTTCCTTTCCTGCATCAGTCGCTGTGAGAGGACAGAAAGGAAAGCACATCTGTCAGAGAGTGGCCCCAGGTACTCGACGTCTCAGGCGGCGACTACTGTGATTCTCCTGTCACCCCTGACCTGCAGTGTGCTCTCACAAGAGCAGACAAAAAGATATTTTGTGTATGTGTGTTTTTTGTTTTGTTTTTTGAGATAGTCTCACTCTGCAACCCAGGCTGGAGTGCAGTGGCACGACCTCAGCTCACTGCAACCTCCACCTTCTGGTTTCAAGCGATTTTCCTGCCTCAGCCTCCTGAGTAGCTGGGACTACAGGTGCCCGCCACCATGCCCAGCTAATTTTTGTATTTTTAGTAGAGACGGGGTTTCACCATGTTGGCCAGGATGGTCTTGATCTCTTGACCTTGTGATCTACCCACCTCAGCCTCCCAAAGTACTGGGATTACAGCTGTGAGCCACTGCGCCCGGCCCATAAAGACAAGTTTTTAAGAACTGAGAGGGTGTGCCACCATTACTCTTATCAGCTGTGAATATGTATCCTTTGTTCAGGTTCCAGTAAGCAAGCTCTATTGTGGTTTCATGATCTAAATTCCAAGGTCAGTTCTGGTATAGCCAGAGGCTACTGGGTCCTGCTATGAATAGAAACAAGCAGACAAGTCCAGAATTTTCACAGCCCATAGGGGAAAATAGACTCTTCCAGAACTGCAAACCTAGGTATCTATGAGATTCCACTTGATTTTCCTGCTTTCAGGTCTTTTGACCTTAAAATGCCTTCTCATCACAAAGATGATTTGGTGAAGCTGACTTTCACCTTTCCTTTAATGCAGTGGGAGCCGTGCCACCACTGGGCACAGTGAGGGTCCATGCCCAAGACAGTGTGTGGGCTAGGTGCCACTGGGGTGAGCCCTGAGGACCAACAGGTGAGGAGCGTCCAGGCCCAGCCACAGCCCTCAAGGGGCCTCAGTTCAAAGGGTTTTCAGTTCAGATGCTAAAACCCTGAGAAAACAGCTGCTTTCCAGCAAGGAGCCTGGCACATCTGCTTGGGGAATCCTCTGACCCATCCTCCCCAAACCGTCCAGGTTGTTGTGGACAAGGGTAGACCAAGGAACCATCTCAGATGGAAGGTGTGTGGGGACACCTGTGAAATGAAAATACAGCTGTAGAGTGGTTATGTACAATGTTCATGATAGGAGCTTGGAGGCTGTGTGGCTGTGTAGAGACCTACAGTGGGGCAGACATGTGATGGCGAGGGCAGGAGGGGCAGTCGGCGCCCGTGGATACTGCACGCACACTGGGACACTGATTTTCGCCAGACACCTGGAACAGCACCCCATTCCCCTCCCACAGCCCCTTGCCCCTCACCAATGGATCTGTCTGTAACCATTTCTTCTCCCCATGCAGGAAAAGTACCCAGATGCCGTGCACCTCTCGGAGGGGCCCTCCTCCCCCTTCATGGTGATCCGCAGTGCCAGCCAGCCAGGGTGAGTCTGCACAGGCCACAGGGCCTCCCATTTCCTGTTAAAACAAGGATTCTAAGTAGTAAACCACCTGACCGAGAACTAAAGGTCGTCGGTTGGAGGAATCAGTGGTTCCAGCAGATACACCCCAGTGTGGGGGTGTGGGGAGTTGGAGCTCTGGAGGATGTGCTGAGCCGCAGGGGGAAAATGCCAGTCCTGGGGCCTGCCAGTGATAGTTTCCCTATGGGATCACCTTAGAGAACCACAGAAGGGAAACTGGGAGAAAGTGGAGATGCTTGTGGAACTGCTGTTACTTCAGAAATAGGGGTGAATGAGTGGAAAGCCCTGAGGAGCCAAGCGATGAGAAGAAACAGGAGGACAGGCTCAGTGCCCCGACAGCACAGCCCAGCCCTCCACCAGTCCCAGGCACCGCCCTGGCCCATGCTGTGTTCTCCATTCTCTTCCCTTGGTGCGTGCATTTGTGGACATGTATCCATCTGGGTGTACTTTTATGACCTGTGGGTAAATGCCTCAGCTCACTGGTTTCTAAGCTTTAAAATTGTGTGGTTCTTATGCAGGCTTCTGAGACTTGCCTTTGTCACCCTTCACCTCCTCTCGGATGATGAGCAGCTGCAGCGGTTTTGCTGCTCATCCTCTGGGAGGGATTCATACACAGTGTCTCTCTGTGCTCTTCAGCTCTAGGGCATGTGGCTTCTTTGTTCTGGCTCACCCCCGACACACAGTACACAAGCTTCTCCTGGGTTCAGCTGCCTAGAAATGAAATTCCTGGGTCATAGGTGGATGCACGTTCAGCTTTCTGTGAATGCAGATTATTTCCAAAGTGGCTGGTCCATGTCTGCTCAAAACCAGTAATTTTGAAGTTTCTGTTGCTCCATGTTCTGTACTTCACTGGTATTGGCCTAATGTTTGCCAGTGCAGTGGGTACAGGGCAGCACCTTCCTGTGGTCCTGGGTCCATTTCCTTGTGCTACCGACCATGCCTCATCTTCGCTGTATGTCGGGGTTTCTAGGAGCAGGGGAGCGGAGACCAGGCGTGACTCATGGTTGCTAATCTTTTAGCCAGATTTCAAAAAGCACATAACGATGCGTTTTACCACTTTTTCAGGTTTGAATTAGTAATTGTTTGGAGGATACAAATAGATGAAGATGGGAAAGTTTTTCCAAAACTGGATCTTCTCACCAAAGTCCCACAGCGAGGTAGGGCCCTGGGTGTAGCTGCTTTAGGTGACTTCTCAACGTGCCCAGCAAAGCTGCCTATTTCCTCTGGGTTTCACAGGGCAAGAATCAAAAGTTGGAAATCTCATTAATGTACTTTGTCTATCAAGTTTTAAATATTTTAACCGTCAATCATCACTGAAAAAGAACATGAAAAGGGATTGCTCCCCGCAGGCCTGCAGGCTGAATGCACAAGGGAATATGCCTCAAGCCTTGGGTGATGTCCCACACTCTGTCCTCCTCGCCTGTCCCTAGCACGTCCCATTCCATGCAGGCAGTCGGGAGTGGAGTGGGTCCTTGGTGAGGTCCACACCAGCAGAAAACACAAAACCAAAGCCGCCACCTGGAAGTTTCTTAACCAGTTTAATGTTTTCTTTATAGCACTGGAGCTGGACAAGAACAGAGCCATAGAAACCGCTCCTCTCAGCTTCCGAACCCTGCTAGGAGTGCTTGGAATCGAAGCTGCTCTGGAAAGCCTTATAAAATCGCTTTGTGCAGAGCAGAACGGCTAATTCCGAAACAGTGAACGGGGAGGATTAAGATGCTGTGCGGAGGAGCGTGCGATTTTACTGAATATAAGCATTTGCTATTTTCCACTTAGAAACCACACCCTGAAGACCTGTCTTCTATGCAGTTAAAGTATATTCTATAGAAATTTTCATGACATGAAGAATAAATAGTTACTTAAGTATAAAATGCCAAATAAAAGTGACATGTGGCCGGGTGCGGTGGCTCATGCCTGTAATCACAGCACTTTGGGAGGCCGAGGCAGGTGATCACGAGGTCGAGATCAAGACCATCCTGGTCAACATGGTGAAACCCCATCTCTACTAAAAATACAAAAAATTAGCCAGGCATGGTGGCGCGTGCCTGTAATCCCAGCTACTCAGGAGGCTGAGGCAGGAGAACTGCCTGAACCCAGGAGGTGGAGGTTGCGGTGAGCCAAGATCACGCCATTGTGCTCCAGCCTGGGTGACAAGAGCGAAACTCCGTCTCAAAAAAAAAAAAAAAGGTGACATGTACAATGTGTTTTATAAAAATAAGCTTAACATCTGAGAAAATGTACCGAGTGGTTGTGTGTCCTCAGACGTGTGGGGAGGACCCAGTCCCCCATCTCGGCCTCACACCAAGTCCACCATGACATGGCAGCCACACTGCTCAGCTAGGAGAAGCCACCCTTATCCTGGTTCCTGCATCCTGGCGGCTCTGGAGACAGATGCCTATGGCACCTCATTTTTAAACTTTCATTAGTAGCCCAGGGGAACCACGCCCATGCTCCTTGCTGCCCCCAGGTCCCAACAGTGGCATTGTGAGGCAGTCCCAGCAAGTTCTGATGTTTTTCTTGGTCTTCCACAGGAAAATGGAGCTGTCAGCTTCAAAACAAGAATGTCCTAAGACAGCAAAGACAGCACTGTTCCTGGGCCAGGGTGCAAGGAATGAGGTCCTTTATGACAGACCCTGTGCAGAGTCTAAGTGCTATATCAATAGTCCCAGATGTGCCGTAAGAACCGTGATCTCATCAGTCACCCATTAGCACTGTTAGGATCTGTGAACTAGAGTTGTCTCAAACCAATCAAGGCCGTCATGGAGCCTCAACTAAGCAGCAGCATCAGCTTCCAGGAGGGGCCAGAAATACGTCCACAGCAGTGGCGCCTGCAGCTCAGGGGATCCTCACAGCCTGGGCTTGTGGCAGCCAAGACCAGGCAGAATGGGGGTCTCCATCTGTTTTCTCTTCTTCAGTATTTTCATTGTGTCTAGTCCAGCCCTGTCTGGGCCCTGTGCTAGGCAGTAACTTTTGCAGCCCTGAAGGACCCAGAGAGCCCAGCCCACCTTCCCATTGGGGTAGGGTTCCCTCACATGTGCACTTGAACCCAAGACCCAGTGTCCTTCATACTCTGTGACAGTGGGCAGAATCATCCCAAACAAGGCTTCCCCAACCCCAGCCCAGCAAGAGTGAACTCCCTTGGGTCAAGACAGTATTCATGGCCACTTCCCTCCACACTCCCAGAGCCTGCTGGTCATCGCCATGAGCTTTGTCCACTTCACTTAGGTGTCCAGTTGTCTAAGTATCTTTCTGCACCTCTGAGTATAGAATAAAATTAGAAGTAAATATTAGGACGGAATTGAACAATAAATTCTAGAAGAGTTGCCTTGATTCAAACAAGTATAATTCTCAAGTTATCACAAAATTTCCCACAAAAATTTACAATCAGCAAAATAGTTTCCTTATTTCTCATGTATCATTTTCATATAATTCCATGGTTTCACTATTATATGTTACAATAAGCCTCCATCAGTCCCTCAAAACGATGATATAAATAGTCTGTACAACCTAGCATACAATAAAAAACTGAAGCCAAGATTCCCAACGTTTTTCATAGCAGCTGGGCACACTTTGGTGACCCCAACAAGAACCCTCTCGGCAGCAGCCAGGAGCTGTTCACCTTCCAAAAGCATGGCCTGTGGCAGCCGGACAGGGAGAGGCCACGGGGCCCAACAACACAATGCGTCTCAAGGCAAACCTGAGGGAGGAACTCAGTCCAGGAAGAAGAGAAAACTTGCTCCTCAATCACCCCAAACACCGGAGTGTCAGAAAAAGCACTGAGCTGTTGGGGCACACTGCCCAGCCCGGCCTCAGCAGCTCAGCCAGCCACAGCTCCACCTCCAGCTTCTACAGCAGCAATTTCCAGTAGGAGAGAACACATCTCCCCCTCACGTGAAAGATAAAATCATAAAGCAAAAAAAAAAAAAAAAAAAAAAAAGGTCAATGCTCGCATGAGTGGTGTCCATCCTGACCTGAGTCTTGTGCTCCCTGCCACCCTGCGTGAAGCCATGGGCTTCAGCACCTCCACAGGGACCCTGAGTCTACACTGCTCACCTAAAAACCTGTGTTGTTATGTGTGATATGTGGCTTGCACTGAAAAAGTGACCATGTAACTCAACTGGGGAAAGTTCCAGTAGTATCCATGTTTTCTTAAAAGTCCAGACTGTAAAATGTATGTAATAATTCAAGTTTTCTATGTTAGGAGTCTGGTGGTAGAAGATCCAAAGCTTGGGTCTTAGAATAAGGCTTTTTGCATTAGAGAATCAGACATGAGCCCTGGTTGGGAAGGAAGAACTACCCAGAGGGTCTCCCCAGGGCCTAACGGACACTTCCATTTTAAGAATCTGAGCAGCTTCCTGGGACACAGCACTCATGTCCTACATTCCTTGTCCAGGAAGATGTTTCTAGTGCTCTTCAATTCCATTTCTCCAAGAGGCAGTCCCACCTCAACAGGGGTTAAAAGCAAAAACATTCACAACCAAAGGTCACCCAACACAACAGAAAACAGCTCTATCATTCAACCTTCACATTCTAAGTTCAAGTTTCAAAGACACTGCAGGGAAAGAGTTAGACCTTGTGGAGAACTAATGTGCAGTCTTCACTTTCCTTGAACCGAGTCGACATCATGGCGTTGTCTTTGGCACATACAGTCTTTGAATAATAGTTGACGATCTTGCCGTCCAGTTTATACTGATGGGGAATGCTCTCGTAGGGCTTGAGGTCAAGGTCCAGCACAGACACGGAGAAGGCAAACCTGGACCTTGATGAAGGGACGACAGGCCTTTGATCAGAGCTGCAAGTAAAAAAATACCATTTCAGGATGCACAAGCCTCCCAATTCACTTCCCTCCCTCCTGTTCTCTCTCCTTTCTTCTTTCAACTAGTATGTTTTTATTACGTTTTTTTCTTTGACTTCTGCAAAGTTAGATAAATCGAGACATGAATGTCCTCGCACTCCAGCTCATGAAAAGCACCCGTTCTGTGCCTCTGTGTGTGACAGCTGTCTGTGCTGGCTGTGTGTACCAGCACGCAAAGCTTCCTCAGGCCAGTGCACCCCATCATACCAGGCGAGAGAGGGTTAAAGGACAGAAAGATGGAAAAGCGATTACGTGGAACATGTGAGCGATGTTCCCCCAGCCCAGTGGTATAAACGAACACTGAAGTCACTTTATCATGAGCCAAGTATTACAAAACCCAAAAAAAAGTAAAAATTCGATCTGGCTGTTCCAGTGCCAAATGGATGAAATGTCGACAAGACTTCTCCTTCTGTGCCTCTCCTGTCTGCTGAGAAACGCAGGCTCCTTTGTGTGGTTCACATTGGAGAGATCTGGTTTCTCATTTTATTCTCAAATTTTATCTTTAGTCCTTTGTATGTTTCTCCTCAGGGCTTAGTTTTTGGTTTTAATAAACATCAGAATAGTCGTGTGCTTATAACAAGATGTGAGTAATTCTTTGCCCTGAAAAACACATCCAGGATCTCCGAGTCCTGAGCTCTGACTGCTGTGTGTCCCGCTTTGTCTCAGGGCACTCAGCACACAGCACTCATGTCACTGGCTCAGTAAGTGACCTAAGCTTAGTTTGGTCCAGGAGTATTCTGGGTTCTCGTGTCCCCCCGTTTACTATTCGAGATTCAGAAATCAACAAACCCAAGCCCAACTTCAAAAGCTCCCGCTGAGGAGAGGAAACACTGATGAACATGTCCCTGCTCTGACCCTGTTCAACACGGCCTTGGTGCCCTCTCCCGCCCTGTCCCAGAATCCTGTGTAGGAAAAATGAATCCCTGACTCAGTTGCTGGGGTCAGTAACTATTCTTGCCTGAATAGTAAACAGTAAATAACTCATATACAAATTAAGGTCTTGAGCCTCACTCCAGAAGCTGGAAGGCACCTATAGGTTGTCCAAAGGGGCTACATTTTACTGTGAGAACCACTGAAGCCCAGGGTGGCACTAAGTTCTAAGGCCTGAGACCCAAGTTCAGTGCAGCTGGGCTGGAAGAGTCACATCCCTGGCCCATGACTAGGGCTACATATTTTAAAGGACACCTTGATTTCTCAGAAGCAGCACCTGGCAAGACCATGGGTGTAAAGGCAGGCAGGATGTTCTAGGCAGCTCCCGGTGGGGGGGTGCGGGGTCTGACTACATGGGCCGATCACAAGCTCCATGGGAGCCAATGGCAGTGACCAGTGGGCACCAGCTCCTGACATGGAAATGCTCTTCCCCTCAGCAGCTCTGAGGCCGAGATTGGGCAAGAGGCTCTCACAGCCTTGGAGAACAAGGCTCAGGTGGCCTTCTAGCTGCAGGGGTGGGGGGCTGCCCTTGCCTGGAAGGCTGCTCCCCAGGACAATGACCCACTGGGGGTCGCCGGGGGAAAAGCAGCCTCCAAGGGTGCTGGGGACTGGGGTGGAGAAGTCAAGGCTACCTGTGCTGTGTTTCAGATGGGAGGTCGAGAGAAGCAGCAGGGTTTAGGCACGGGATGCCATGGCAGCTCTCTCCACAGTTCCAGATTCCCAAAGGGACAAACTTCTGCAGTAACAGGCAGGCAGATCCAATTTAGATATTTTGCTTTATGACAGGGCAGAAACAGTAGTGCAGAGCTGGAGAAGCCTTTACATTAAGGAGTGTAAGAAGTTTCAGTGTGGTCAATCTATCTGTGAGCTATAAATTAAAGTCTAGGGATCTAAATTTTAGTATCAGGTCTAGCAGGCATCTCAAGATGCCAAGATGACTCATGATAAGACCCGGCCTTAGCTTGTCCCTAGGCCTTTAGAGCGCCACAGTCGCTGGAACTTACGGGTGCAGCCACTGAGTGCACCTTCCTTGAAGCAGGCCCAGCCCCACCACGTCATGTTCTCATGTTGTCGGAGAAGCCTTCTGAGATCTTCTCCCTTTGTTGAGAAGGGCCTGGCTACAGTGCTTTGTGCATGATGGTTCCTGTGCCTTCACCCCAGGTCTGAGAAGCACTTGTGGCTCAGTGCCTTTGGGACCCGCCCTCCCCTCCCCTCCCAGTGTCGGTTTCTGTTGAGCAGTTGGGCAGGCTACAGTAAGGATCCGGGCCCTCAGCTCTCCCCACATGCTACGTTTCCATTTTGACATCACTGACGGCACTAAGAGATTAGCAGTGCTGGACGAGGTGGGTAGCACATCCGTCCTTCTGCAGCCTTTCACAGCCCACCTGAGCACCTGCATCCAAGCACATTTCCACCTCCCAGCTGCATCCTTGGTCAGGAGAGCTGGTGAACATTGGTGTCTTTGCGGATTTTTCTCATCAAACACCACCAGCTTCATCCAGCTGGGGAATTCCTCATAACTTAGTCCTGTGGATGTTTTCTTAGGGGATAACAGGAGTTTTCAACTAAATAGAACAACCTTTTTTCTCCTTCAGTTATGTCTTATAATGTTCCTCAATATTTCACACCGGAAAGTAGACAATTCTGTGCCTGCCAGGGAACAGAAATCATGGGAACTGTTACTTCAAAAGCACCAGGAAAATGAGTGGCTGGCAGCCAGCAACCAAGGTCATCTTGACCCAGGAACACATGTTAGAAGAATGTGGAACATTCCACAGATACCGGGTGCAGGGTTTGGCACCCCTGAAGATCAGTGTTGAAGACGCTGTCTGATTACTATGAAATTAGCAGATTCATCCCGAATTCCCAGAAACAGTGAGAAGGGACTGGACAAAAATAGTGACATTAGAGAGAGCGGCTGCACACAGGCTGGTTATTCAGAGGAGGAAGCAGAAGAATGAATGTGTGCCTTACAGGTGTTCAAATGACTGTGGTGGTGAAAAGCAGGCATGCCACGCTGCCCAGCAGGAGACCCAGGACCAGGGCCTGCAGGCACCCACACAGCTCAGGCCGTAGCAGCAGTGGCGGTGCTGGCTTTGAGGAAATGGAATGGGCAGCTCACAGTCCTTGTTGTTTCTGAGCTCTTCAAGTATTTTCTTAGAAAACAGTAACTTTCAATGTAATAACAATCCTTTTGAGTTATTCTCCATAAATCTGTCTTTTGACTGAATTATAAGCTTCTAGAGGGCAAGAGTTAATAGCCCCATGATGTCATGCAGGCCAAGGAGGTCAAGCTCCCGTCAAGGAGTCTCTAAATATGGGAAAACCAACTGTCCATAAGCCCCCATCAGGCCCACGCCATGGGCCGTGCAGTGAGCGCCTCACCTGGCATCCTGCAGACAGGGGGAGAGAGCGATCATGATGGAGCAGTCCTTGGCAGTCATGGCGACGCGGTACTGCTGCACCTGCAGGGGAGGGAGAGATCAGTTCCAGGTCTCACAGGAAGCCTCTACCCCGACGCAACCTTCCTTCCTAGCCACATGCAGAAACTGCTTCCTGCCTCAGAACCCAAGGGTGGGATTAGGAGCATGGGCCACAGTGAGCAGGGGTGTCAGGAGGTCTCCCTGTGAGAGCATCTGGGCCGGCTCTCAGCCCCACAGGGCTGTTCAGAGGCTGGCATCACCTCCTGACCTCTCAAGGCAAGCAGTGTGGGACTCTGACTCCAGACCCTGAAGCAGATGATCCATCTTCAGCAACGTCACCATGGTCAGCCTTTAGAAGGAAAAATAGTAAGCCGCCTGAGCCCCCAGATGTTGGCCACACTCAGAGTATCGAGCGAGCATCACTTGACACCTCCAAGAAGAGTGTATCGGGTGTTAGGCAAGGCATCGCTTAGAACGACAATCCCTCTGGAACGTCACACAGCCACCAGAGACAACTGCAGATGGCCACCCTTCTACAGGCTGTGCATGTGTTAACTCATTCCACCCTCACAGCAGCCCAGCAGGGCAGCACAGCTGGCATCCCACTCTACAGACAAGCAACAGACACAGGGATCATTTGTCTGCGGTGCCCTGCTCATCAATGAGAGAGCAGGGACTCAAACCCGGAGTGCTGGCTCTGACATCTGCACTCTTCAACACATGCTCCAAGCAATGTGGGTCTGTCCATACTGACCAGGGACAGCTCAACACACACCACAATGTCATCCACACAGACCAGGGACAGCTCAACACACACCACACTGTCATCCACACAGACCAGGGATGGCTCAATACACACCACACTGTCATCCACACAGACCAGGGACGGCTCAACACACACCACAGTCATCCACACGGACCAGGGACAGTTCAGCGCACACTACACTGTCATCCACACAGACCAGGGACGGTTCAACACACACCACACTGTCATCCATACGGACCAGGGATGGTTCAACACACCACACTGTCAGAGTCGACGTATATAAAGCCGTGCACGTGCTCACGTGTATGGCACAGGCAGGGAGGGAGGTGAAGGACAGCCACCACAATGCTCACAACTGTCTCCTCTACAGAGTAGAATGTGAGGTACTCTCTCCCCGTCCTTCTTTGGACTTTCATATATGGTTTGGATTTTTTTTATAGCTCTCACTTTCACAAATATAAACAGTTGTAAAAAAAAAAAAAAGAATTGGGCCTAACACATCACTGGCCTTAATATTTGTACTAATGACAGACCATCTCCTGTCCCCCTTTTAACTGCTCCCCTCAACTGCATACAACCAGGAAGATCTGGTCTTAGAAAACAGCCAAGCTGCACCTTCCAAAGGGCAGGACTGGGTGTGAGGGAGGGGGGAGAACCTCAAAGCACAGATTTAGCTCAGGCCCCAGACTGTTCTTGGGACATGAGAAAACCTTTCATAGCAGAAGGAAATGAGCAGATCCTATCCTTACACGCTATTCAGTTAACTAGGAAATCAGCTATGTCCCAGAGTACCAAAAAAATCCCAGTCCAAAAGAATTACTAAATATTGAAAACATAAAATTAAAAAGTTTTAGCAGAGCCAAGTGTAGTGGCTCACACCTGTAATCCAGCACTTCAGGAGACCGAGGCAGGAGGATCGCTGGCACCCAGGAGTTCAAGACCTGCCTGAGCAACACAGTAAGACCCCATCTCAAATAAACAGGACAGAAATGAATGAATGCAAAGTTTTTACATGATACAGTCAAAATTCAAAGGCAAAAGATAAATGAATGACTAGGAGAAAATATTTGCAACATGTAACAGACTATAAATGTCAAGAATATGTAAAGTGTTAGTAATAAATATGAAAAAAATAAAACTATCCCCAAAAGTAGACCACAGAAATTTAAGATTATATATATATATATATATATATATATATGAAAAATTCAACCTTACTACAAATCAAGGAAATGCAAATTATAACAACGAAGTATTTTCTAATCATCAGATGGGCAGAACTACACACACACACACACACACACACACACACACACACACGTCGGCCCTTGATGTCTGCAAATTCCAGATGCAGAATCTACAGATACGGAGGACTTAACTAGGGGACTTGAGCATCCTCATATTTTGGTGTGTGTGTGTATGTGTGATAAAATGAAGAGATCAGGCCTCCACTTCATGTAATGCTAGAATAAGTAGTTGAGGCCAACCCAACTGCTGAGGCCAACTAACAAAGCTAGACAAAAATATTTGCTTGAAGGCAGAGCTAACAAGCCAGGAAGAACTGCTAGAATAGGGAAGGACAAAGGCATCTAAGTCTGCTTTTCCAAGAGAGGGTAGTGATAATTCCACAGCTGTCTGAGAGGAACTTTTAACTAATCTTCAGGGCTATGGGAACAGTAACTATCATGACCCCCTTCTTTAGGTTAGTACCCAAAATACTGCCCTTTTTAAAGTAAAAAGGTACAGTGGCTCATGCCTGTAATCCCAATACTTTGGGAGCCCTAGGCAGGCAGATGGCTTGAGCTCAGGGGTTTGAGACCAGCCTGGGCAACATAGCAAAACCCTGTTTCTACAAAAAATACAAAAGGAGGCTGAGGTGGGAGGATCACTTGGGCCCAGGAGGTGAAGACTGCAGTGAGCCAAGATCACACCACCGCACTCCAGTCCGGGAGACAGGAGACCCTGTCTCAGACAAACAGAGTAGAGGGGAGCCAAAGTTGACAGGCCCTACCAGCAACTGCAGTTTCACTTTGAAGAGACCAAACCATCACAACTGGATTAAAATGACTCCAGCTGCTTGTGTTTCCCAGGCCTCTGACAGAAACAAACCTAAAATTCTCTCTGGAAGAAGGTATGATCCTAGGCCTCAAGTGACTTCTAAAATAATTGTTCAAATGCAATTTCGAGCACACAAGCAAAACTATGCAGACACAAGAAGACGATGACATGAATGAAACCAACAGAAGCAAACAGAGCCACAGTGGGGGAGAAGGTCTACGGGAGCTATGCATTCTACTTGACTTTGCTGAGAACCTAAAACTGCTCTAAAAAATAAAGTCTATGAAAAGAAAAAGGTGCCACTGGACAAAGAAAAATCCACAATAGTAGGAAAAAACTACAGCCGTGGATTCCAACTACTGGAGGTGCCGGACACATGCTGCATCAAAGAATAAAAGACTTAATTCTGCCAAGGCAAGAGATGAATTATAAAAAAAAAAAAAAAGAAAAATTTAAAAAATAAAGAACAGACAAAACTGAGAACTTCATGGAGAACCAGAAATGATAAAATGAATCATTTAGAGATTGTAGAACTCAAAAGATGCAGAAATGGATATGAAGAATTAAACAGATTAAACACCAGATGAGAAAAAACTGAAGACGTCCAGGTGGATGGGATGATTTCAACAAACACAACAATGATTGACAGAAGACCAGCTAGCATTTCTCCTCATGTGGTTCCCTTGTGGTGTTATTGCTAGGATCACAAGGAGGGAACAGTTACCCTTGCTATAGTTCCCGGTGGGGAACTGGCAAAACCAGCCTTTGGCATGAGCTGAGGAGGCAACTGACTACTATGGTCTGAAGAGTTCGAAGTGTCTTCCACTGCTTCTTCCAAAGCACCTGCGATTCCCACATTAGTCACTCTTTTTAAAATGCAAATGTTATTTAGGAAGCATCACACTACTACATTAACTAGTTTTCTAAACCGAGTTACCCTGAAGATATGGGTTGGATAAAGAGAGATGATAATTTGGGGTCAAGGAACAGACAGAGGTAAGAAAATGGAAAAGCTAAAAAGAATTCCTAAACTGGAAGACAGACCACAAGTACATATCCAGAGTGAAGCATGAAAAGGATGCAATCTAGAACATAGAGAGGAAAAGGTATAAGACATAGAAAATTAAGAGAAAGTGTCCAACATACTTGTAATTGGAATCCAAAAGGAAAGAGGAGCTGGCCAGGCGCGGTGGCTCACACCTGTAATCCCAGCACTTTGAGAGGCTGAGGCAGGCAGATCACCTGAGGTTGGGAGTTGGGAGACCAGCCTAACTTTGTCTCTACTAAAAATACAAAATTAGTTGGGCATCATGGTGCATGCCTGTAATCCCAGCTACTTGGGAGGCTGAGGCAGGAAAATTGCTTGAAGCCAGAAGGTAGAGGTTGTGGTGAGCCGAGATCATGCCATTGCACTCCAGCTGAGCAACAAGAAAGAAACTCCATCTCAACAACAAAATATAAAAAAATGTTAAAAAGGAAAAAGGCCATACACAGTGGCTCACACCTGTCCCAGCACTTTAGAAGGCTAAGGCAGGAGGACTTGAATTTGAGACCAGCCTGGGCAACATAGCAAGACTTCATCTCTTAAAAAATAAAATAAAAATTGTAAAAAGCTGGGCATGCTGGCATGATCCTATATTCCTAGCTTCTCAGGAGGCTAAGGCAGGAGGATCCCTTGAGCCCAGCAGTCTGAGGCTAGGATGAGCTATGATCACACCATTGCACTCCAGCCTGGGTGACAGAGTTAGACCCCATCTCTTACAAAAATAAAGTAAAGATAAGTAAACGGGAAATGGGCAAAAACAAAACAATAAATCAAGGCCAATATTTTCCTAAAATGAAAAAAAGGCATCAAGCCACAGATTCTAGAAAGCCTCCAAACATATCATTTATACATTTCATGAAACAAAAATTAAGAACTCATCACCACAGACCTATACTAACATTAAAGAATGCTCTTCAGACAAGAACAAAATGATCCCATAGATATACTCAGAGATACAGGGCAGCATGAAGGGCAATACGGGAAATAAATACATGGGTAAATGAATAATGACTGTAATAAAAAAAATAAGGTCTCCTTGACAGAATACACAACAACAATAACAGTGTAAGTCAGGAGCAGCAGTAAAACATACTCTAAGAATCTTGCATTGTGCAAGAAGTCAGTAAAAGTACTTAATGATATTAGACTCCAGGAAGTCAACTGCTTGCTGGC